TTGCATAGAATTATTACTGAGAAAAACTGCAAATATTGCCATTGATGTTCTATTCAAGGGACATCTGCCTGGTTCAGTTGGAAGAGCATGATTTGGGGTCATGAGTTCAAGCCCCACGTTGGATATCCAGATCACTTACATATATAAAAACTTCAAAAAAAAAAAAAAAAAGATTTTCTATTGAAGAATATGTGGGTGTTTCCAGTTGGGAAAGAGCCCTCCTTCATGCAGCCATGTAGACCCGGTTTCTTCAATCCTGTCTCCCCAACATCCACTATGGTTCATGGTCATCTAGATCCAAGCAGAGGAAGAGAAAGATAGAGCACGGGGCTTCTTAGAAGGCTTGCCCCAAATCTGACACGCATGATGACACAGAGGGGTCCCACAGCTGCCGTGTGCCATCAAAGTGGGGAAGCAGCACAAGGAGGAACAGACTACAGGCTCAAGCACAACGTACAACAAGCGCCACAGTCTACTCATTCTGGAAAACAAATTAAATACGCCAATCGACCCAGGTGGCAAGAACCAAAACTGTTGTGATTGTTCACAGGCAATGGCTTTGAGTAGGTTCTCAGTAAGAAACAGAATTATAAATACCAATCTCTACCAAAAAAATAAAAAGAGATAAAAAGAGTTATTTCTCTACTAATCCAAAGGAGGGTGTTCATAATTCCTATATATGCAGTCTTCCATGTACCAATAATGAAAGTGTTTCTTTCCATAAAAGAATATCAGAATATCTTACTTGGGTGCTGGCTAATTTAAGGAATCGCTGATTTCTGGTTCTTTTGATATTCTTTTGTTATCCTGTTACCATGATTCCATGTGGAGGAGGATGTCAGTTAGAAAAGGGGAAGCTACTCTCCCATACTTACATATGCAGAAAAGTTGTTTTCCTTAGTATTTCTCTTTTGTTTGCCACAGCCGAACCGCCTGCCCCCAAAGCCACAGGCCCCGGTCACTGCAGGTGGCTCTGTCCACAGCCACAAATGCCGCTGCCTGAAGTAGTGATGGGCGGAATTCTGAAGTACCTTCTGAGTTATCCCTCCCAAGCCCAGTCCCATGCTTGCCAGACCTTCCTATGCTCCTGCTCGCTGGCACAAGTCAGGAAAAACACAAATGTGGGCGTTTCTCTTTGGGAAATGAAGAGGAACAGGGTCCTCTTACCCACCCAGCTTCACACAATGATGGATTCCCCCAAATTTAGGAAAAGGATTCAGATGGCCGGCAGCCCAAATGGTGACAAAGGCCTACCAAAGACACAATAAAATGTTAACAAATCGAATGCATGCAGATCCCTGCCGTCTGTCATGGGATGGGGGCGGTCATGAGAGGGAGAACTGGAAAAACATGATGAGGAAAACAATTTTCTTTTCCACTCATGCTCTAGGGAATTCGTGTCCATAAAGTTCTCTATGATTCTATGGGGCAAATCGGGCTCTGTCTTCTCCATCCAATGCCAGGGGCAAAGCTACTAAAAGTATAGATAATCATACCCAGCACTGTCTAAAAAACTTTCTTTGTCTAAAAAACTGCCTGGGTGGCTCAGTGGGTTAAGCCTCTACCTTCAGCTCAGGCCATGATCTCAGGATCCTGGGATGGAGGCCTGCATTGGACTCTCTGCTCAGCAGGGAGCCTGCTTCCCCCCTCTCTCTCTGCCTGCCTCTCTGCCTACTTGCAATCTCTCTCTCTGTCAAATTAAAAACAAACAAACAAAAACCAACCACTTTCTTTGATGATGGAAATGTTCTATCCATGTGCTGTCCAGGATATAGCCTCTTGCTGAACGTGGCCATTAAGCACCTGAACCATGGCTACTGTGAAGAATGAACTCAATTTTTAATTTTCCCAATTAAAATTTAGGTTTAAACAACAACACGTGGCTTCTGTCTATGGGGCTAGAAAGTGTAAGACTAGCCTTGTGGAGTCTAACAAATCCATTGCCCCAAGTCACCTGATCTAAAATTAAAAAAAAAAAAAAGAAAAGTATTTCTTTCCCATAACTATTGAAGAACATTCTGGCTCTGCTGTGGTTAAATCCTGGGCTCAATCCTAACCTGATTTAGATACCTTCACTATATCCTAAAACAACAGTTCTCAATGTCTCTGATTATGGTGACCCATTTTTGTTAAAAGATTTTATTTATTTATTAGAGAGAGAGTGCATGAGAGAGAGCAGAGGCAGAGGGAGACGGAGAAGCAGGCTTCCAGCTGAGCAGGGAGCCCAATGTGGGGCTCGATCCCAGAACCCTGTAATCATGACCTGAGCCAAAAGCAGATGGTTAACCAACTGAGCCACCCAGGCGCCCTGTGGTGACCCATTTTTAATGTCAAAACAAGTTATTAACCATTTATAGTAGTGGTGCTTGAACTCCTATTAAGAAAATCCATTACAGGGGCATCTGGGTGGCTCAGTCGTTAAGCATCTGCCTTCGGCTCAGGTCATGATCCCAGGGTCCTGGAATCGAGCCCCACATCGGGCTCCCTGCTCAGCGGGAAGCCTGCTACTCCCTCTGCTGCTCCCCCTGCTTGTGTTCTCGCTCTCACTGTCTCTCTGTCAAATAAACAAATAAAATCTTAAAAAAACAAAAACAAAAACAAAAAAATAAAAGAAAGAAAGAAAGAAAATCCATTATAGCAAAAAGCTCCTCTGAAGTCAATAAAAACTTTATATTCTTGAGTATTTCCTTGTAACAGTAGCAGCTATACTGAGTGGTCAAATACACATAAAACGCAGAGATAGTCTCAATTTAGTATGTCAGCAATCCTTGATAGAAGCATGGATTCCAGCAAGTCTTATAATATCCAACAGCCTCCTGGGCTCTGTGAACCACACAGGTTAGGAGCCCACTTCTAAAGACGCATCCTTCTGAGCGGCCAGCAGATCCGTGACGATGTGTTCCACACCTGAGGGTCATGGTTCCCAACAGGGGCTTTGGACTCGTATTGGAGAAATGAGAACGAGCAACCTTACTAACGCTGGGCAGTCAAATTTTTTCAAGGTCTAGCTGGTAGAGGACATATAATATAGATTATTTATGCTCTAGTTAAGCCCGGTTACCACGCTAACATCAAAGAAGATCAAGGTCTAACACTATGGATTTTTTTAAAAGTGTATTGTTATTACTCAACAGATAACGGGATGTTGTTCAGCTCTCTCCCTATCATCGCTTTGTCAGCAAGTATGCTCACTCCCTGGCATTCACTTGTTTCTCTGTGTCAATTTTAAAGCCAAAATCTGAAGAAGAATTCATGTGAGGAAAAAAATTAAAGTAAGCATTTACGGAGTGGTTTCCAGGCTGGAGCTGGCCGTGTTCCGGACAAGTTCATTTGAAGCTGGAGGTGAAAAGTCACTTTTGTGAAACAGATGGAAGAATGAGGAAAGACCCCATAGATATTAAAAGTCTTGATTATAGGGGCACCCGGGTGGCTCAGTCAGTAAAGTATCTGCCTTCAGCTCAGGTCAAGATCCCAGGGTCGTGGGATCGAGTCCCACAACAGGGAGTCTGTTCTCCCTCTCCTTCTACTCCTACCCCCTGTTCATGTGTGTGCTCTCTCGCTCTCTCTCGCTCACTCTGTCTCTCAAATAAGTAAAATCTATGAGAAAAAATCTTGATTCCAAAATGGGGAAGAATGTTTCTACACTATAACCTCTTTGCCCAGAAATGACTGAACAGCTAAAATCTTACAATTTGGCAGGAAACAGAAAGGAAAATAGAAGGGGAATGTCAGGTGTGTGACCTGTGTGATCCTGAAGCATCCCCAAATCTCTGAGATGTTGTGGTTTGCCGTGACAGCCTCATCAGACCCCACCATAACACTCATGGGTTCAAGAACCTGTTGGGACCCACCACTCTCCTCAGAATCAAAGTCCCCAAGCACACCTTTTAGAACAGGAGCGCCGCTGAGGTTGGTTCTCGTTATAGAGGTAAAGGTACTGGATGAAAACAAAAGCAACCGCTAGGCTCAGAGCTCAGTCCATGAAATCTAGAAATCTCTCAGAGACTCCACAGGTTACAGAAAGCTCTAGAAACCAAAGAATGCCCACAACTTGGTTACAGCTGTAAAGTATCAAGATGTACGATGTAAATTATTTATGCTGCAGTTAAGCACAATTATCATCCTGGCTTCAAAGAGGAGAAAGGTCTAACAAAGTATCATGCAAACCATGGTCCACCCAGTGAAAAAGAAATCTCGGAAAAAAACATGAGCTAACACAACTTGAGCCAGAAACCATTTCATACTTCCCAGCTCCCTGGGCTTCCGAGAACGAAATCACCCACTGAAAAAGAGGAATATATTTCACCAAGGTAGGTGGATATTCATCTCTCTCAGTTTTTTTTTTTTTTTTTTTTTTTTTATCATAGCCAACTGCAGGAACCACCTGCACCCCAGAACACTTTATTAAGACTTTATTGCTTACACAGTTAAGAGACACTGATTGAGCGACACCAAATTTCCCTGTGCCTGGTTCCAGGTCACTCTGTGTAGAGCTTCCCTAAACTGTTGAGAGCTGGGACACTGCCAGGCAGAGGCAGGACCCAGAGTGAGAAGAATGGTACCTCCTAGGAGCTGTAGAAGGGGCAGTGGGCTTTGAAAGGGCCCTTGGGGTGAGCAGAGAGGTCAGGAGTGTAGCCTTAAGCCAGGGCCCAGGGGCAACATTCCCTGAGATGAGTCAAGCTCCAGCCCTCTCTGGGGTTTCCAGAACAAAGGCTGGGTGGGTGTGGAGAGCAGCACTTTGGAGGGAGCATGGGGTATTGTCTCCAGGTGTTGCTGGAGCTGGGAAATTGGAAGGGTGGCCTCGGTGATTGGAATAAAAGGGGTGGCAATTGGGCTTTCCTGCATTACAGTGAGGGATGAATGTCTCTAATGAGGGAGTCATGTACCAAAGCTGGGCTGAAGTACCCCGTACCAGGCCTGGGAGCAATGGGTCTGCTGTGGTGACCGCTGGTGGCGAGGAAAGCCAACTGTTGCCCATGCCCCCCATTCAAAAAATTGCATGCAAGATGAGGCAGGGAGCCTCCTCCATTGGGGGTGGAGTCATTTCTAAGGCCTAGGTATTGATGCTCCCCCAATCCTTAGTGTGGATGAACTTCTGAGACGTTTCTTTACTCAAACCCAGTCTTTAAGTCTCCTGAAGTAACCCTTTGTTCACCCACCTCCAGAGACTAACCTGGCTGCTCTCACCTCCCCAGCTTTTGTCACAAGGCACTTGTTACAGGGCTGGCTTCTGAGGAAGGGTCGGGAGGCCTGGGAGGTGGCTCTGACGGTGATGCCCTATCTACAGAGTCAGGAGTCTGGGTGGAGGGGGTCAGGGGCTAGTGACTGCCATAATAGAGGCGCACAGCCAGACCAATGAGCAGCGTGGCCAGGAAGAAGGCAGCCGTGAGCTGCAGCCGCAATAGGGCTGCTGAGAGCACGGCATTGACCACCAGTGAGCAGGACACAACGAACAGGCGTGTGATGCTGCTGCCGTGCTTCATGACAGCTGACATGAGCAGTCCATTCAGTGCCTGGCTCAGCACCACCAGCGCTGCCCATCCGGAGAAGCCCTCCAGGAGGCCCGGGCCGGGGCCACCACCTGCATGCAGACCTAGGTTCAGGAGCACACCGAAAGTGTAGAGGAAGAGGTTCTGAAGGGCGAGGGGCAGCCGCTGTCGCTTCATAAGCAGTTCTGTGTACACGGACGACAGGCCTGAGATGAGGCAGTACAAGATGAGAAGCAGCAGTCCCAGTGGAGTGACATGCAGGGGCATGGGGCCAGCAGCAGCTGCTGAAGGCGGTCCAGGAAGTGTGTTCCCAGGGTCCTGGAGGCCACCAGCTGCATAGCAGGCCCCCGCTGCCATCAGCAGCAGTAGTGCTAAGCCCTGGCGGGCAGAGAGGCGGTGCCGGAGACATAGGCAGTAGAACAGGGCCGTGCTTCCGATCTTGAGATTGCTCAGCACCTGGTAGGTGCTGGGGTCCATGTAACGTTGAAGATAAATCACCAGGTTGTTGTTAGCGCCGTAGAGTAGGGCTGATAGTGCAAAGGGGGCAGCCTGGCGCCATGGAGGGGCCCCCTGGGGCCATGCTTGCCAGCCCACCAAGAGGGAGAAGGCGCACAACAGTAGCTTCGTCAGCTCGGTCAGCAGCACAGCTGAGGAGGGCCGAAAGGGCACTCTGCCATTCACATGGCACAGTGCCAGTAATGGGGCATGAGCACCATACATGGCAGTGGACAGGAGTAGCATCAGGGTCCAGCGGGCCTGCCTGGGACGGCCCAGGCCTGGTGTACCCCCGTCCTCTACACTCATGCCCAAACCAGACCCTGGCTGGCCTGGGTAGCTAGCAAGGGGGCAGCAGGAATTGGAACACATTTGGGTAAAATCAGTATGGAGCCAGCGCCTAGGAGGGAGGAGTTGTGGGACATCGCTAGACAGAATACTGAGAATCAGAGTCAGCTGCAAACTCCACAGTCAGGGCTGGAAGAGGAAGGGGCTGGTGGCCCTAAAAGCCACAATCTTGGGGCCAGTCCCATGGGGTTAAGGAGGGGCGTCCAAACTGCTGGCTGATAAGCCACTCTTTACCCTCTGCAGGAAGGAAAGCAAGGACGAAGGCTGTGGGCAAGTTGGAGATGGCAAAAGGGTGACAAGTGGGGAAGCCAAATATGGCATCTGTGGTTGAAAGACCTCTACCTGCAGGCCTGAGGTGCTCATCCTTCCTCCCCCATGGGATCCAGAGCTAGTCAGGCCCCTTTCGCAATGACCGAAGATAGTCCCTCAATGTCTTCTCCACATTGGGCACGGCATATGCTTGAGCTGCGTAGATGCCAGTGCAGGTACCCACAGCAAAGCCCAATACTGCGGATGCCCTCAGTTTGGCCACCACATAGCCGGCTAAGAAGCCCTTGAGGAATGGGGAGGACATGAGCGAGCCATCCTGGCTCACACCACTGCTGACTTCGTCTTCTACACGCTGCTGCAGGCGTTCCAGCTGGTTCTTTAGAAATGCCAGGTCCTTAAGCTTGGGCAGAGAATCCTTGTCATCCGCCATCTTCCCCGCCGAACTTGTCTCTCTCAGTTTTTAAAATGAGAGACATTCACTTACTACGCTTCACGTGCATTGACTGCTATAGACATCAACAATTCGCTCAAAATAGATATGCTTTGAAAAGATTGGGAAATTCAGTATTGAACTTAGAGAGCTGAACCTGAGGTTTTAATTCAATGCATAATGGCTTGCATTAGCAGCATAAAAATTGCTTCTTGATTAAGTAGTCTCGGGTTGTAATTTACTCAAGCTAAAATTTTTTAAAACGTTACAAATTAATTCTAAAAAGCATATACACCTACCTTTTTAAGAAAGACCACGTTTCAGGATTCCGTATCGTAGAGTAACCGTCTTTTCCTGTAAAAGTGGAAAAGAAGAAAGACTATCCAACTGATAACAGAAAGAAGCGAAGGTGAGCTTTGAGAGCACAGCGCTCTAATTTCATGTCATGGCTTCATGTGTAATATTAAACAAATGGACGTTTCTGAGGTTAGACTTAAAGTATTTCTTCATTTCTGTCTCAATGAAATATTTCAAAGATTTTGATTCCAATGATTTGACTTCTGAGAAGCAAATGAACAAAACCAAATGGAAAGAGATCAAAATGCATAGGAATTTATCGAAATGAGAATTGAAGCATCTACTTCACATCTACCCCAATGACATATACTCGATACTGTCATGCCATGAAACAAATGAATAACACTCGACTCCTGTTTCTATTTTTCTGGGGGGGAAATGAGGTGAAGAAGTTGTAATAGCCTGAGTAGATAACAGAAGGTAACAGAACTATAAGCAGCTGTTACCTTCTGTTGTTTATTTTTTATTGTCCTAGCTAATAAGCCATATTTATGGCTCGATTTTTTTGGCTAAGACTTTGGGATCAAGAAAAATTATATAAAGGAAAATAAATCAAAAGAAGATCTCTCCTGTTCTATTTCACATTTATTGTTTTCAATAAATAATTGACATAGAAACCTGCTAGTCCCTGATAAACACTAAATGTGACTTTTCTTTTCCAAAATTACTTGTCTGCATACATGAAGTTACTCTAATATTTTAACTTTATATACTCAAGCCCAAATAAGGAAGTAAACCGTTTATAGTTTAATATAAGTTAATCATCGACTCCTATAAATTGTTTCTACCAAATCTAATTGAAACTGCCGCCGGAACACTGTCCCCAAGACTGTGTTTGTGACTCTGACCCTGATATGTTAGATTCCATGTGTAAAGTAATTTAACTTCCAGCGGGGATAATGATGTGTAGAATGAAAAACAATGACCACAATTTCTAACCCGAAAGAGCTCCAAGAATTTGAAATGACTACCAGAGCATTAATTCATGGAGATGCCACTCTGAGTAAATGGAATTGTTGTCTCTCTCTCTCTCTCTCTCTCACTCTCTCTCTCACACACACACACACACCCACACACACCCCACGTGGGGATGCCCTATATTACCTTGTGCTTTCTCCAGCTGCCATCTTCTTTTCTTTTACTTTTTTTTTTTTAAAGATTTTTTATTTATTTATTTGACAGAGAGAGATCACAAGTAGATGGAGAGGCAGGCAGAGAGAGAGAGAGAGAGAGGGAAGCAGGCTCCCTGCTGAGCAGAGAGCCCGATGCGGGACTCGATCCCAGGACTCTGAGATCATGACCTGAGCCGAAGGCAGCGGCTTAACCCACTGAGCCACCCAGGCGCCCCTGCCATCTTCTTTTCTGACAATAAAAACCCTCTCTAACCCTAAAGTAAACTTAAAGGAAGACATTCTCCCAACACCTTACTGAAAGGCGTGAGAACCCAACACCCCAGCCACACTTACATGTTGCCTTCCCGAATACAACCTGCTTGGTCACACTTAGCTCCAGAACTTCTGTCCTTCAAGACAATTCCCTGCACAGACTCCCCAGAGTCAGCTGGCACTGGAGGCCCTGTCTCTCCTGCTTCTCTTCACTTCAGAGCCAGCATACTGCCAACACCATACAGTTAGGGTAATGGCAGTGTGTCCTATTTTCTGAAATTATAGGTGCAGGTAAATTCAGCTAATGCCAACAACCAAAATTTGCCAAGACAAATGGATGACCGATTCGGAAACACGGTTCAACACGCACGCGCTGAGCCAAATCATAATCTATGGCCCGGTCACAACGAGTATGGAGCGCCTCATAGATCTTCAGTTTCTACGGGGCATCCAGAAAAAAACAGGTATCTGGGATTTGCTTTGAAACAATCCAGTCGGGGTTGTGGACGAGGAGAGGTAACAGATGAAACAAGTGGTCACTGAGTTTGTCGTAGTTTAATGAAGGATGCATGAAAGTTCATTGTAGCATCTGCTCTACTTTTCGGTTCTATTTAAAATTTTCCATAACAGAAATTTAAAAGATGGTCATCCAATGAAAGTTATGTGTGAAAATATGACAAAGGGAGAGAGAAAGGCACAGATCATACATGTCCTAGCCTTCCTGTTTTCCAAACACCCTTCAAGACAGAGGGGAAATAACTAGGGAAATAAGCAAAAAAATTTAAAATTAAACATCGCACTAGAAAAAATGAAGACCCTGCAGTTATGGTTTTATGGACGCAGTGATAATGGCCTTGAAGCTATTTTCAATACTTCAAATGCCAAATAACAATAATACCTACCTTCCTCATTTCTTTAAATTATTCCAAGTATATCTGCTTTAAATTAAGTGATAGAAACACAGAAACACTGCTTTTCTCATGTTTGTCAGAAATTGTTGGTTGTTAAATATACCTTTGATTACTACAAGTAGGAAAATGGATGACTTATAATTAATATCAATGTGATCTATTCCCTGAACTATAATCTTTCTAAATAAAAGATCCAAGAGGGGATCATTTAAAAAGAGGCAGGTGGGGACCTGGGTGGCTCAGACAGTTAAGCATCCCACACTTGGTTTCAGCTCAGGTCATGGTCTGTGAGCTTGAACCTCACATGTGGCGCTCAGCATAGAGTCTGCTTAAGTTTCTTTCTCTCCCACTCTCTCTGCTCCTCACCCCTGTACTCTCTCTCTCTCTCTCTAAAAAATAAATATTGGTGGGACACCTGGGTGGCTCAGTGGGTTAAGCCTCTGCCTTCCGCTCAGGTCATGATCTCAGGGTCATGGGATCAAGCCCCGCATCAGGCTCTCTGCTCAGTGGGGAGCCTCCTTCTCCCTCTCTTTCTCTGCCTGCCTCTCTGCCTACTTGTGATCACTGTCTGTCAAAAATAAATAAATAAATAAATAAATAAATATTGGTACAAACTTTGGGATCGCAGGTATAAACTATCAAATCTGCAACCCACTTACATATGGAGCAGAGTGATCTGTCACTGGGGGACCGCAAAAGATGGGCACTTTCAAGATGATAACAGGAATTCGCCTAGAATGTGAAAGACACTGGGAGGGGTCATACGAGGCTAATGCCCAGCTTTCACAATAAAAAGCTGGGAAAGTCACATACCAAGTAAAACCATCTTCACAGCCTCAGAATTTGACTTACTGACCCTGCCAGACGCCACTATTGGAAATCTGACACTAGACATAAATTAGAAAGTGGGATTTATGTCATGGTTTGGGGAAAGAGCGTGTGTCAAGCTTTGCCAAGCCTTCTTCAAAGATAAACCAGGGGCAAGAACCAACCTTGGTTCCCTCCGAACAGAACAGCATAAAACCAACACTAAATCCTAACAGGAGATTTGATCTTTTTTTTTTTTTTTTTTTTTTTTTTTTTCCAAAGGGGGTTTTTTTTTTTTTTTTTTTTTTTTTTTTTTTTTTTTACGTAGCTGATGGTTTTCTATTTTCTTTTTCAAGTTTTCCTGGCCTAAAACAATCTGTTTCCTTTCCAATAATGGAACAATGCCAAATTCTGAAAAGGAAATTTGTCTGACTTAATGGATAAGCACATAAAAGCTGGAAAAGGGAGTATTATGGGAAAACCAGAACAACTCGGCCTTACGAGGCAGCCTTCCAAATGTATCGGCAAAAGGATCAAGGGTGAGAGAAGGGAGTACATGGGTAATAATTATGAACAAGTTGCGTGATGGAGGTCAGCTAAACAAAATTCACTTGTTTTCAATTTGAAAAACACAGTTCCAGCAGTTTACTACATATGCTAAGAGAAACTGCCATTAGCTTACACCCATACTCAGATATTTTTCACATGTTATTAAATTAGGAATGGCATTCAAGTATGCATTTAATAAATATTTGTCAAATAAATGCATTAATGAGGTGGTGAATGCTACCAAATCATGAAATCTGAGCCTAAGGTCATTAGAAATGACAAAAATAAAATCCTCTGATAGAGCCATCATGGCTGTTTGTCTAACCAACATGCGTAACCTTGATTTGCTTGTAGGTGGCCATATGCCAGGTTGAAAGGGTTTGTTCCCCCAAACACCCTTGCAACTAGGGGTGAGCCTCGGGATGCAGTTCTGACTGATGAGATGCAAGAGAGGGGGCTCTGAGAAAGTCTGTTCTCATATGTACGTAGTCCCTTCACTCTTTTCTAGGAATAGCTACTGGGAGGTGTAGAGACATCTCACAACCTCGAGAACAAAAGGCAGACAAAAAGGAGTAGAAAGAAAGACAGAAAGAACCTGGTTCTCTGGTGGCATTGCTGAGATGCTATATGTAACACACCCCCTGCCAAAACAAAAAAAACAAAACAACAACAACAACAACAAAAAACTGCTTAGGTTCCTAAACTTGCATTTCATGTTAGGAAGGACAAACCTCTGCTAGTTCAAGTTCCTGTTTTCTAGAATTCACAACGGAACGTATTCTAACACCAGATCCAATTTACCTCCCCAACACGGCTGTGTTCTTAAAGCTGTTCCTACTTTCACTGACTGATGCTCCCCGTAACTATCTGATAACACGGTCACATAGTTATCTCTGAGTCATCCACAAGTCTCCCCTCATTGACAGCATGCCTCCTACTAAAAGGTCAACAAGCTTGAGGGTGAGCAGTCATGAGGAAAGCCATCAGCAAACAGGCCAT